ACAATTAACATGTCCTACTCTATCATGCCATAAATTTGAAGACTCAAGCAAGTAAAAAGAAGATGTATTATTATTAATAACAGAGGGGACAACAGTCATTATATTTAGTTTGAAAAGGCCATCAGACATGTAACATTTTCCTACATACATCTCATTCTTAATAAGTAAAAATTTATCACTCTTAAACACTAGTCTAAATCCATTTTTACTCAATAGAGATCTAGAGACTAGATTCTTGCGAATATCCAGTACATGTAGCACATTGTTGAGAGTGAGTTCTTTTTAAGATGTTATCTTCAGAATAATCTTTCCTTATCTTTCAACTTTAGAAGTCGAAGAGTTGCCCATAAAAAGTTGTTCACTGTTGTCCATTACAAAATAAGATGTGAACATCTTTTTGTCGGTATAGATATGACGAGTAGCACCAGTGTCCACCCACCATTCTTTAGGATTTTCGACAAGATTTTCCTCGAAAACAATTGCAGAAAGATTTATGTCCTCAACACCATTGGAAATTTTATCCACTTTGGTCATATTGGCTTGAGCAGGCTTCTTACTTGATCTTCTTTTGCCTTTGCCTTTGCTACGGCAATCTTTGGCCCGATATCCCTCTTTGTCACAAATGTAACATTTTCTATTAAACTTGTATTTCTTATTTTCCCCTCTTTTAGAGCCTTGTGCAGAACCTTCCCCATAATACTTTCGTTTCTTTACTTTTGAAACATGTTCCACCAGACTCCATTAGATGCTTACCAGCCTGCTTTTTAGAATTGCAGTTGTCCTTCTCAATCTTCAAACGCACAATCAATTCCTTTAAAGTCATTTTTTTGCGCTTGTATTTGAGATAGTTTTTGAATTCCATCCAGCTTTGTGGTAATTTTTTAATTAAGGTAGCAACTTGGAAGGATTCACTGCGAGACATTTCTTTTGCATGAATGTCATGCAGAATGAGTTGGAGATCTTGAACTTGGCTGATCATAATCTTAGAATCAACCATCACAAAATCTAGGAATGTGCCAACCACAAATTTCTTTGAGCCAGCATCTTCAGTTTTGTACTTTTCTCCAAAGACTCCCAAAGTTCCTTTGCCGTCTTGATAGGGCTGTAGACGTTGTATAATGTGTTGTCAAGTCCGTTCAAGATGTAGTTCCGACAAAGGAAATTAACATGTTTTGAAGCATCGACCACAGCAACCACTTGCCGGTCGGTTTCATCCTCTTTTAGAGTAGAAGCATCCTCACAGAGGAAACGTGTCAGGTTTAGAGTAGTAAGATATAACAGCATTTTCTGCTGCCATCTTTTAAAATCAGTTCCTAAGAACTTCTCTAGCTTTTCACGGTGATTGACTGGTACAGTCACAATAAGAGAGAGGTTTGGAACAATTGCAGCCACCATACTAGTACTTGTTTGAGCATTAGCTTCAGTAGCTATGAATTCTAAGTTATAAGGCAAATGTGGTGGAACATGTTTTTCATAAAATTAACAAGAAATAAAAGTTACAATTCTGTAATTTTCTGGATGTTTTTCATTATGAAAATCTGCTGGAATGAGTCCTCTATTTATAGGCATAGATAGTGACCTTTGGACAAATCCGAATAGGTGCAACTTCAAACTGAACAAGTGCAAAAACTGTTTGAACAGATCTGCTGGCAGTTTTGAATCTGTCTGGGCAGTTTTATAACTGTTTAGACAGTTTGAATCTGTTGGGGAGTATAAGGGAATTTCGGACATTTGGAGGCAAAAAATTGAATTCAAATTTTGTGCAAAAAATTGAATTCAAATTTTGTGCAAAAATTTGAATTAATTTTGTTTAGAAAAATTAAATTTTCCCGCTTTGAAAAAGTTTAAACAAATTTTGTCCAAAAAATTAAAGTTAGAATTGTCCCGACCCACAACCCGTACTCGCGCTCTATCCGGCATAGCCGGCGGCGGTACGTGTGCGTGTGATGGTTTGGGCTGAGGCCCACTTTGTCCATAACTCCTCCCTTCTACAAACTTGGGGTGCCACTTGGGGCCCAACCCAAGTGTTGCCACCTAGAGCTTATATACATACACAAGCTCTCTTAAAGTTTCAATGTGGGACAAGCTTTACAAGGAAATCCACATTTTATTCTTTAATTATTCATTCCACGAACCCGAAAACGGCATCAACTTCCCATTAACTCATAAATGGTTATGATGAACCGTTTGCACCGTATGACTCACTATTCGATAAGGAACAGGTCACCTCTTTGGACCCACCCCAAAAGACGTGTGGGACCCACTTATATTTGGGTTCAAAGTTGGACCAAAATAAGCCTATAAAAACTATAATTCCAACACTTTGAACTGAGGAGGGATTGAGTTACATAGCAAGTTTTATCGGTAATCCATTGTATCTTGATGAATTTACCCAAAACCATAGCCTGTTAACATTTGCTAGAATTTGTATTGAGGTAGAAGCTATTAAAGAGATTTCACCTTCATTTGTTGTAAATTTAGGATATGGAGAATCGTTCGAAATCAAAGTAGAAGTTCCTTGGAAGCCCCAAGTGTGTGGAGAATGCAAAATATTTGGTCATGCTACAAGTTTGTGGCCAAGTAAACCGGTTACTCAAGCTCACAGTAAACTCAAACAACAATGGAAGGCCAAAGAAATGGCTGAGACAAAGGAGGAAGGCAAACCAAGTGAATGGGTTGAAATGAAAAAGACAAAAGGCAAAGACGTCGTTAATGCTCTTATGGGTAACTTTGTTTCTACACCTCCTTCATATTTATCGAATACATTTGATATTTTCAATACTTGTGTAGCCAATGAGAAGGTTTCTTTTTGTGCGAAGCTTAAGAGCGTGCTTGATGCAAATTGCTCCTCTTTGAAAGTGAGCAACCCCTCAAAATATATTCTGAATGAAGAGGCTTCAAATGAAGAGAAAGAAATCAAGGATGTGGGTAATATAAATGTGTTAGCCCCTAGACGATCTTCACTTTCCAAAGGAGCACTGTAATCCCTTTCGGATGGAACTTTCATTGTTCCATGGACAAACCCATCTTCAAAAGTGGTAATCAAGAAAAAGCTTCTTGAAAGAATCACTAATCTTAAACTTATTCAAGCGGTTAACATTTCTATCAAGTCTAAGAAATTAAGTCGTAAGACTCCTACGAAATTGTAAGCTTGTCCGTTGATTATTGCTTGGTCTAGCTTTTGAATTCTCCTTGTATGTTATTGTTAGATTTTAGAGTAGAAGCTAGGCATGTGTTTTCCTCCTCAAATGGCGTGTTGTCTCTAGGCGTGTAATGAGTCTCATTTTAATATCTATTTTTTGGTATAAAACTTATGACTTATCTACCAAAGAAAAGTCATATCAATACATTTTATAAAATATTATCTATTTATATACATTTTTATTTCATATTTGATTTTTAGATTCTCAACATGACTATTGCTTCAGTAATGATAGGATTACATAAACTAAACAAAGAATAGGATGCAACCCTCTCACAAAAGGTAAGTCTCAAATGCAGCCTTCGTTCATATGGGTCCCACTCTTTATAAAAAGATTGTACTTTTATGTGCATAAATTTACTCAGGTTGCTTTTATTGTGGGAATATTTCAACCACCCTGTTAAATGGAAGGAGTGAGTCATAGAAACCAGCAAAATCTGACTGCACCAAAATTAATTCCACATCGCTAACGACAAACTGTTCTTTCTAACGTGTAGACATGCCATGCAATAAATTAAATTCAACAATTAATAATGTTACAACCATAGAAAATTTATCTAAAATTTTATTTAGAAATATTATTATAAGATTTAAATTCATTCCATATATGAATTCTACAATGTACCAATTAATCTTAATCGCACATAAATTCAGAATAATTTTCCTAACCTTTTTTCTGGAACAATAGAGCCTGTTCAACAACAATCTTGGAGTAAAAAAAAATTTACTCAGAAAACAATTCAACAAAATTATTGTATGGGGGTTGTTTGGCAATGGTCTTTTGATTAAAAAAGTATAAAAAACAAAATAAATTAAATAAACTAATAAGATAAGATATCATATCTAAATCACAATTATTTTACTTTTTTTTCTTATAAAAATCAAAAAAGACAAACAATCCAAACCAAACAAACTTTTAATCCCAAACTAAAATGCAAAAACGTCAACTAAAAGATTCAATTGTCAAACAGCAATTGATTCATTTCAAATGAAGTAATGATATAAAACAGAATCTATATATAAAATGATGTGATATATATATATATATATATTTTGGTAATAATGAGTGACATCTTGGTCTCCTTAATTTTCATAGGGAAAATTGTATATTTACAAAAATATTTTCAAATTAATGGTAAATTTTATAGATATTAAAATATAAAATAATAAATGTTTTCATGTATTGAAAATTAAGTTTTTGAAAAATCACTGACACGTGATTTCCCCTTTTTCAAATGATACTAGCGCATATTGTTATCATAATTATGTATAAAAATTCTATAATTATATTAGCTTGTTTGGTTTCAGAAAATTCTATTTTTTTTATTTTTCGTATTTTAATGTTTTCAATGAATTTTTTTAATATTTTAAGTATTTTTTTTTAAATTTTTAGACACGCCTAACATAAATACACTTAAAAAATATAATATTTGTGAAAAAAATCTTTAAAAAATACACTAAATACCAAAAAATATAAAAAAATATATAAAAATTCAGTATATTTTCGTATTTTTGTGTATTTATTAATTTTTTAAAATATATTTTCACAAATATTTTATTATTTTAGATACATCTAAGTAAGGTGCATCTAAAAAAATAAAAAAATTACTAAAAATTTTAAAAATATTTACTAAAAAAAAACACGAAAAACAAAAAACTCAGTTTTCAGAAAACTGAAATCAAACATTTTTTTAAAGTATAATTTCATTATATAATAATTAAATTTAAATCACAAATCAATTTTTAAAATTAATTTCATTCACACAAATTTTATGGGTCCCTATATGAAAATTCCAACCTGGCACTGCACATGAATCCCAAAATGCTTATATTCCACGTGTAGGCTTCTTGAAAATTGATCAACATATCTGCATCCAAATTTCACCAAACAATGAAAATGGAAAATGGCAAAAAGAAAAAAAGAAAAATTCATTTCATTTCCAAATTTTTCTTTTCAAATAATGAAATAATGACAATTTTACAATGAAAAATTATATTCATTAATTTTTTTTATTTTAAAATGGTAAGTTTAAATTTATCCATATTCAATTGACACTTGGATGCATATTAATGATAAATAAATATTATGTATAACAGACGGTATCATTAATCAATGTGAAATTTATGGACTACATAAATAGATTAATGAGAGAGGTGAAATGTTTATTTAATTTTATTTTGTAATTTTTTATTGATGATGACACAACATAAAATGATGTTAAATTGCAGTACTAAATTTTTATTCTATTTTTAAGTGTTCCTATATTTATTTAAAAACACAAAGCTTAAGTTTGAATGACAAAAATGTCAAGAAATTTAAGAATTTGATTTTTCCCATTTTTCCGTAGGATTCTCATCGAAAAAATGTTATTGACTTAAAAATAAAAATAATAATTAGACTCACATTATTTAAAATTTTATTATCTTTCATAAAAGATTTCTAACAAAATCAAACAATTAAATTGTAATGATAGAAATTTTACTACAAGTAATAAAATTCTCATATTTTTTTCAAGATTCTTGTCACCCAAACATTCGGAAAAAGAAAAGCAAATAGACTTGTGATGTCATATTTGTAACACCATATACGCAAATAACTTTTTACATATGCCATTAAACAAAATTTTCAATGTAAGCCAAGTTTGGGTAATGCGAACTAGGTTGAAAAAATTATGCTATTTACATAGAACAATTTAACATAAACTAATCAAAGAAGAGATACCAAAAACAAAAATGGGTTAAAAAAATTATCAAGAATATTATCCAAAATGAAGTTGTATAATTGAGATTCAATTGATGTATTCTCAAGTCTATATGCAGATTAAATTAAATTACACATTAACAATTCTTGATAAAAATTCTAGCATATAGATCGGGTGGTTGTATCTCAAGTGATGGTATATCTCTAAATTTCTAAAAGGAGATTTAAAATTAGAGTTTATTGAGAAACCTTCAACATTGGCTTTTTTATTTTTATTTTTTTTTTAATTTTTCTTTATTAGCAAATGCTAGTTGTTAATCATTAAATTAGCATATATGAAAAAAAAAAAATTTCACTCTTAGCAAAGCACCTAAATGTTTGCACTTCCATAATTCAACTCCTATAAGGAGAATTGAACTCATGACCTTCTTAAAAACTAAACCTTAAAAAATGTATGGTGGTCAATTAAGTTAGACCTAATTAGTTAGCTTCAACATTGACTTAACTTACTGATCTACTAATAATATTCTATTGAATATAAAATAATTTAAAAAAAGGTTGAATCTAGTGTATGTATAAAAAAGCATACAAGGTATTTGTTTTTTCTTTCATATTCCAGGTAATGAATGAGAGAGAGAGAGAGGGGCTTACGCTTTGGTAGCAGCATAAACAGCATAGAGAGGATGAGAAGGAACAACAATGGCAGCACCAGAGCCAACATTAACAATTGCACCTCTCTTCCTCTCAATCATCCCTTTCAAAACAGCTCTTGTAACCCTAGTTGTACCTTCTAAATTAACCCTAACCACCCTTCTCCACACGTCCTCCTCCACCTCATGAAAAAACCTCGCCGTCGGGTACGAAACCCCGACATTATTCACCAAAACACCCACCTCCACCCCTTCCACTGCCTCCTCCACCACCCTGATCCCAGCTGTGATGTCACCGGAAAAGTCCAACACCACCACCTTGATCTTGGTATGTGGGTATTGGGCTTGAATTTCACTTGAGACTAATCTGAGCTTTTGGGAGTTTCTACTTACAAGTATGAGGTTGAGACCCTTTTGGGCTAGTTGGAAAGCAAAGGCTTTTCCAATCCCATCTGTGGATCCAGTGATGAGTGCGCATGAACCATAGTTTTCCTTGAGGTTCTTGGGAGGCCTGAGGAAGGTGATGAAGACCAATTTGAGGAGAGAGAAGGTGTGTTTGTAGATAGAAAGCAAACCAAGAGAAGAGAGGATGAGGATCCATAGGGGTTGAGATTTTAGGTGTTGAATGCAAGTTGAGAGCATTTTTGTTAGTTTGGAGAATGACTTGAAACAACCTCTGTATTTAAATGAGCATTTTTGAGAGTTTGGAGAATGACTTGAACCAACCTCTGTATTTAAATAAAGAAGGAAGTTAAAAAAAAAAAAAAATGTCAACGCACCCCTTTTAAAAAAAAATAAAAAAAAATAAAAAGAAAATGAAAAAGACAAGATACAAGAAGCAAAAAAATGAATTAATGCTGTTTTAAAACTCTTCTTTCAGAATTTTAAAACATTTTTTTAAATAATAATATAATAATAATACCACGGTACACATCCATAGTAGGGAAAATTATGCCTTAGTGCCCTTTTAAAAAAAAATTACAAACTAACGAAAAAATTTATACATTTAATTATTAATCTTTATAAATTTTTTCATTTATTAGAATTTTTTTTAAAAATTTTATAAATTTTTTCATTTATTAGAATTTTTTTTAAAAATTTTAATTTTTAAGTCCACTGACTTGTATTTCTCCCTTCATAGTAAAAAATAAAAATAAATAAAATTATAACTAAACATCACATAAAGTACAGACAATTTTTTTTTTTAAATCATTAGTAAAATAATGTCATAATTGACATCACAATAAACCACAACTTACATCACAATATGTATAATAAAGTAAAAATAAATACCTCAAAAAATCATATCAAAAAATCAAAAATATTGTAATTAGAACATATGATAAACACTCTCTCTTTGGGGTGTACCATAGAATTTCTTTAAAAGAAATTACCAATACGTGGATGCAACTTTTTTTTGTGCACAACTTTTAGTTGTGCTTTTCATATTACGGTAAATAGTTTTCCAACTTTTCCGTCTTATAACCTTTCCAGTAACGAATATGTATGGAATCGCGGTAGATTCTCTTCAATTGGACAACTAAATGGCTAGTATATTTATTAATAAAATTAAATTGATTAGACATATTACTACATCATCAAATTTTGTTTTAAAAAATAGATCACAAGTAAGATCTTCAAACAAATTAGCCTTGGTTTGGTTTTTATCTTTAGCTATATAATCACAAAAAGATAAAAAAAAAAAAATTATAAAATCACAAAAAGACAAAAAAGTTACAAAAGTACCAAACTACCTCATATACAAATAAAAAGTCAAAAAAGCATTATTCTATACTAAGGGCAATTTTGTCATTCCAAAGTCAAAAAGTCAAACAAGAATACCAAACAACTAAAAAAGTCTCAGATTAAAAAAGTCAAAAAATAAACTAAAAAAATCATTACCAAACGACCCCTTAATCATTTAAAAATCCAATCATGTAATAGGTGCATAGAATTACAGGGGAGAAAAAATTGTGTTATATGACTGGGATATTATTGAAAATAAAATAATGTTACATTTGTTATATTTTTATACTATATTTACTATGGGTGTTGATTTTTGACCACACAACTAAATGGGAAACTCAGTTGGAGAGTACTGACATAATAGATTAAGCCCGAACAACCTATCATAGAAAGATAAGAATCTGGCGGCGCTTCGTCCACCCGAGGGCACTCCGACGCTCAAGTCAATAATCAAATATCTCTCAAAGATAGGAAATTGTGCTTAAATTCACCAGAAAGAACTTACCTCAAACTCACAAAGGTGCGCTACTTTTATAATCAGCACTGACCTGATCCATGTAGAGGCCTAACTTCAATGGACTCAGGCTCAATGCTCATCTTGGACTCTCAGCTAGATAAGGATAAACTCCCTAAGTGCTTTATCTTTATCCAGACTGAGGCCCTCCCCTGTTGTAGAACTCTCGTCCCTTATTTGATCATCTCGGATTCCGGTATTTCCGCGGGTAACCTCGGCCTAGCCGAGATAACTTTGGCGCCAGGACCAGGCCACGTGGCACCTCAGCTAACACTTCGGCGTCACCTTAGCTACATGCTGTCATTCACAAAATATGTCCCAACAACTGCCCTCTAGGTTCTATTATCTCGACAACCTGAGATGATGGAACCTATACCACTTGCTTATGGACCATGTCGACTAAAATTCATTCTTCCTTTCTACCGAAGTTACGACTCGTCGGTTTTAAGTTCCCAGGACTCAATTGCCCATCTTTATCAAGGAGGAACCCAGAGTCAAGTTCTTTAAACATCTCAACCAAGATCGCTCTTCTAGTCGAGGTTTTTGCCTCGTTAATCAGAACTCTAAGGGTTTTGACTGTGCATGAGCTGTCAAGCACAGTTTACTCAATCGTTTCCTCCACATGTCATTTCTCATTGGTTCGTACCTGATATGCGCTATCAGGTCGCGTCGCTTCTGCGTACGCCGCCTGACAAGCACATCATTTAAGGCATTTCATTATGGTTTGTCGCCTTTTTGAGTTTTAACAAAACTCTTTCTCTCTCTCTTTGCCTCTTCACTTTCGCAAAATTTGATTTCTTTCTCTTGTGCTCAAATTTTCGCTCTCTAGATTCTGCCATTTTCATACCTTCAAAGCTCTGCACTTGCTCCGATTACCTTCTCCAGCGACCTTTTCATCATTCGTTTTTGGTCATTCACGCCGTCTGACCCCAGCGATCCCCATATCAGCACTCATTTCATTTGGTAAGTTCACAATTTCTTTCACCTTTAAGTTCAGTCTTTTATTATTCCTTTGATTTGTTTCAAATCTGTTACTTGTCTACATGTTGTTCACTGCTGTTGCAAATCAGTTTTTGTTCTTGAATCTTCGCTGTATTTTGAATCTCGTGTTTATCTGTGATTCATGTTGTTCAATGTATCCTTGTGTCTATTCACATTGTTCGTGATTCTCGTACACACGTATGTAGTGTTCATAAATTTGAAGTTTTAACAATTTTGCCACTGTTCTTGGCTTTGCACATCCGCATACACCTACTTAGTGTTTCGTGAAAAATGTTGCTTTCTTGATTTTGAATCATGTTCTTTTATGTTTTTCTTTGACTTGTTTCCAGATTCTTGCCTTTGATTCTTATTTCCGTATAGATTTAGGTTTGGGATTTGATAGAAATCATATTCTTTAGGAAAATTGAAACAAATTCTCCCTAGATCTTAAAAAACCCTTGCCCCAATTCGAGTTTAGGTTTTAGCCGAGGTTCTCAATCCCTACTATTTTCTTCTCTCTGACATTTATCCCAAAACACTCTAAGTAGAGATAATGGGTATGTTTAGGTGGAGGGTAGATACCCTAGAACAACTCAAGCACTTTAGGAGAGAGTTTTCTATCCCAGTCGACGTCCAGATTAGGTTGGCTGGAGAGGAGGACTCTATTATGTCGAATGGAGACTTCATGTCGTTCCTAATGGTTGCCTTTATCGAATGTGGACTTCGGTTTCCCCTTGATACTCTCTTTCGTGAAATCCTTCACTATTACAAACTTAACCCCATGCAACTTGCCATAAACTCATATAAGGTCATCAATGGCGTAATTGAAATAGCAAACCGAGAAAAAGTTAGGATCACTTTAGCCGACATCCAATTCTGTTATACCATGTGTGGCCTTAAGTCTGAAAAATGCTGCATATACTACCTCAAGCTCAGGTCCATTGCCTACAAACTAATAGCCGACCTCCCAGACTTTAACAAGGGTACTGGAGATGATTACTTCATCGTCTCAGGCAACTGGAAATTTACACCTGATGACGACCTTCATCTCTATCCTCTGCACCGATCGGTGTTTAAAGAGGGGCGATGGTAAGAGCAGAGTTACCCTTTTAATTATATTTCAGCTAAGATTTGTCAGTATATATTTATTTTTTGTAATGCTCTTCTTCTCACTTCTTTTTGCAACTCTTCCCTAGCCAGCAAACGATTTCCGACAGACCTTATTTCCTAGCCCCGATCTAAAAGGGCTTTTAGGTTTGGATATTAATAAGCGCAACGCCCTTTTGTTGCTTAATTATATCCCGACCTACAGGTCCGTGTTACCCGATGTCCCAAGTCGAAGCAAGACTCTCCCATCGGCAACAACTCCAACAGTTGCTTCATCACCAAGGCCAGATCAGGCCTCTTCATCAGACCCAGTAGAGCAACCCTCCACTTCTGCTCCAGCTCAACTAATCCCACCATCTCAGCGCCAACACCGACGTCGACATCGTGCTTTACCAAACGTACCAACAGGCCGAACTCGTAGCCGTAAATGATAAGATTCTGAGGCATTGGCCTACGATCTAGCCAATCCTCCCATCGCCCTTCTCGCTATTTACTTCGGCACCAAAGTTACACTTGCTACCACTGCCGACGAAATGGGCTGCAAACTAGCTATCGTTGAGGACCTTCTAGCCAATATCCCTAGGGTAGTGATTGTTCAGTCATCTTCTTCTCCCTTTCAATCCAAGCCAAAGCCTAAGAGAGTCAAGAAGGCTAAAGCCAAGACTACAGTGACTCAGGTTGATTCTGAGGACACTGTACCGATCTCAAAATTGGTCAAGTCTGAAAAGAATACTCCCGCTGTTGATAAGAGGCCAGCCGAGGCCCTTTCGCCCGACATCCCTCTGACAAAGAAGCCAAGATCTGACCACCTTGAAGGTAGCAGCAGCTTTTCCCGTAGCATGATCTGGACGACCGAGGTCATGGTAGGGGACAGACCTTTGACGACTGGTGACAGTGCGATTCAGGACATGGAGGTTAGCGCTGCCTTGTCAACGACTATGCTCCTACCAGAAGATTTGAATCAAATGGCCGACCTTCATGAGTGTGAGAACTTCGGTCTGATGATGCAGCACTCAGTCTTGGTAAGCCTCTTTATTTACTCTTTTATAGTTTTTTAACATTTAGTCAAATTTTTCATAATCTATTTCAGTCCTTGCAGGCCATCCAGCATGCGCATTCATACGCGATCAAGATAGAGATGACAAGGAAAGAGTTGGCAAAAAAAACTCAAGAAGCTGCCAAACTCCTGTCCTCGCTCAATCATGCTGAAACCAACAATAGAGCTCTATTGGATCAAGCCAAGGCTTTTAGGGTTGCTCAGAATTTAGCTGAGGAGAAAGCAAAAATTGCCGATGCTGAAGCCAAAGCTGCCAAAGCCGATCTTGAGGCTACCAAAG